GACGTTCAATGCATGTGATTTATTCGATGTGGAACTTCTTTTTTAAATATCGATATTTGCATTGCTATGTATACAGTGGTGGAATGAAAATATCTGCGAGCGAGTTTTCGGGTTTATGAATGTTTATCATATTGGGGGATGCAGTGAAGGCTTCGAATGGAGTACTCTAAATATTTTGAGGGTTGTTGAGGGTGTTTGCGTATCGAGTATGCTGATGATTGCTGTCATATTTACTGTCAATCGTATTTGTTGATAGTAAATAATATATGCAGATACCTATAACAATTTTAAGTGTAAATAGTTATTATTGTAAATAATATTTGTATATGTCTATATATATAATAGTGTACAAATAAATAATAATATTTTATTAATATTGTCATGGCAGTGAATATTTCAGTGATTCATTTGATACTAATTGTAAGGTTTTGTAGAAATGACATAATTATGTAACAATGTAGTTTGAATATTATTATCATTATTAACAAGCATTATTGTTATTTAAAATATAGGAAATTTTGTTTGGTATGGAAGGGAAAGAAGTAATGACAAAATGATTTTATAGTTTTGAAATTATTTATTGTATCAATTGTTTATTTTATGTGAAGGTAAATATTGATATATATTTCCAAATTCTGAAATTATCAAATGACAAAATTTCTAAATTTCTAAATGATCAAATTTATTTTTAAAATTACTAGATCTTCAAATTCTTAGATCCTAAGTCCCTAGATCCTTAAATTCTAACATTCCTAAATCCCTAGATCCCAGAAACTATGAATCTTCAAGTGCCTAAACCTGCAGTTTCCAAAATCCCCCAATTCTCAAAATTCCTCAAATTATCAATTTTCCCAAATTCCAAATTCCTCAAGTGCCAAATTCCCCAAGTGTCAAATTTCCCAAATTCCAAATTTTCCAAATTTCAAATTTCCTAAATTCCAAATCACCCAAATTCCAAATTCCCCAAGTGCCAAATTCTCCAAATTCCAAATCCCCCAAGTGTCAAATTCCCCAAGGGCCAAATTCCCTAAGTGTCAAATTCCCCAAGTTCCAAATTCCCCAAGTTCCAAATTCCCCAAGTCCCAAATTCCCAAATTCCCCAAATTCCAAATTCCAAATTCCCAATTCCCTAAATTCCTCAAATTCCCCAAATTCCTCAAATTCCCCATTCCGCAAATTCCAAATACCCTAAATTCCCAATTCCTCAAATTCCTCAAATTCCCCAAATTCCACAAATTCCAAATTCCCCAAATTCCAAATTCCCTCCAAGTGCCAAATTCCTCAAGTGTGAAATTCCCCAAATTCCAAATTCCCCGAGTGCCAAATTCCCCAAATTCCAAATTCCCCGAGTGCCAAATTCCCCAAATTCCAAATTCCCCGAGTGCCAAATTCCCCAAATTCCAAATTCCCCGAGTGCCAAATTCCCCAAATTCCAAATTCCCCGAGTGCCAAATTCCCCAAATTCCAAATTCCCCGAGTGCCAAATTCCCCAAATTCCAAATTCCCCGAGTTCCAAATTCCCCAAGTTTCAAATTCCCCAAGTTCCAAATTCCTCAAATTCCAAACTCCCTAAATTCCAAATTCTCCAAATTCCAAATCCCCCAAATTCCAAATCCCCCAAATTCCAAACTCCCTAAATTCCAAATTCTCCAAATTTCAAATTCCCCAAATTCCAAATCCCCCAAATTCCAAATATCCCAAATTTCCCAAATTACCGAAATCCCTCAAATCTCCCAAATTCCCTAAATTCTCCAAATTCCCTAAATTCCCCAAATATCCCAAATTCCTCAAATCCCTCAAATCTCCCAAATCCCTCAAATCCTCCAAATTTCCCAAATCCCCAAAATCCTTCGAATTCCCCAAATTCCCATAAACCCATAGCACAAAGTATTAACGCAAAAGATAGGGAAATGAAAGAATAAACACGTTCTGACAACTGTAAAAAACTATTCTGCCTTTACTCTGTATAAATGCAACTGCATTCGTTCAGATTTAATATCTACATAAATACACTGTAAACATTTCATAGACGCATACTGGCGAGTGGATAGCAATAATCGCAACGTTCTTTCGCACAAGGATCCCATCTTATCAAACACAATTGTACAATCCTTTGAAACGCGATCAAAGGAGGAAACATTATCACTTTTACGCCTACGCATCTCTCTTCTATACGCTTAATTTATGTGCCATTAGTTTTGGAATTCAGCCATACTGTCAATCGATACGGTCACTTATCGAGCGTTCAATAAACGAGGAACCATAACCCTTGTAATCCTCTGCGACACTTTTATCGATTTCATTTAATGTTTATTTTATTTAACATAATTTTATACGGCGAGTTTTTTTACCACTTATATATTAATATGTACAATATCGAATTTTCGATCATTCTTCTTTTTTTTAGTAGACGGGAATTAAAACTAAACTCGTTGAAGAGTTTTTTATGCAAGCATACAGCAGATTGATAAAATTAATGTACAAATCATGCTGAAGATTTAAAATTGTAGGATTCACAGTTGTACCGATCGCTTAATTATTATGCAACTTATCGAGATTCTATGCTAATTAAAAGTCCAGTAAAGTACGTTAAATTAATTTGTTCATTCACACAACAGAAATATACATCTACGGGAAAGTTAACGTAGCTGAACAGTGGATTAAATCAGATCGGAATTGAAATTTACAATTTCTTTCTACACGTTGCAGTTTCTTTTATACATAACTATTGTACAATAAATACAGCGGTGTAACATTGTTCGAGTGGTTTTAGTTTGACAATTGTACTCAAACTTACTATGCAGCTTATCGATAGAGCTTGAATTAATTGCTGATGGCTGTAATAATTTATCTGATTTTGTCGATTGAGTAAAAGAATGAAGAAACTTGGACTTAAAATTATGTTGGTATTAAAATATTTGATGGTTGTGCAAATTTTAATATTTGAAAGTTTTCAAATTTTTAGTTGAAGAACTTTCAAATATTAAAATTCTTGAATTTCAAATTTTTTAGTTAAAAAATATCTAATTTTAGAAATTTATAAATTCGCACCAACTAATAATTACAGCCACCAAAATTAATCGATGTAAGTCAATTTCAACCCCAACTCAATAAATATATTAATCTGCAAAATAATTTTTCTTCTATAGTTCGCGATTTGTTTGTACTATCGAATTGTACAAAGAACCATCGTTGTATAGGAATACAGGTATCGAAAACACTGATGTACTGGCACTTCAACAGAATAAACAAAGAGAACAGCATTCCGTACTTTTCATTTTTTAAATGAATCTTTCAACAACATTAAATTTAACATTCATTCGTTGGCGTCTACATTTTGTTCAGTATCAATAATTGTAGGCCTGCACTTAACATCGAGTATGAACACTGAATGTAATTGAAGAGTAATCGATATTTCAGGCAGCGTACCGATGTCAACCCTCGAGTTGGCGCGTGGAGAGACATGGTTGGAGGTACGATTGGTCGGAATAGAAAATGGACGTCTCATATTATTTTTGGCGGTGTGTTGGGTGGAGCCAGTCGCACATTAATTTGGGGCTTCAGATCGCCATATTTCAAAATTTCTACATTGTCGAATTTCTGTATTTTCGAATTCCTACATTCTCCAATTTCTACATTCCCCAATTCCCACATTCCCCAATTCCAAGATTTCGGTATCTCTACATTTCCCAATTCCCACATTCTCCAATTCCAAAATTCCCGAATTCCAAGATTTCGGTATCTCTACATTTCCCAATTCCCACATTCTCCAATTCCCACATTCTCCAATTCCCACATTCCCCAATTCCCACATTCCCCAATTCCCACATTCCCCAATTCCAAAATTCCCAAATTCCAAGATTTCGGCATCTCTACATCCCCCAATTCCTACATTCCCCAATTCCTACACTCCCCAATTCCTACACTCCCCAATCCCTACATTCCCAAATCCCTCCATCCCCAAATTCCAACCTTCCAAAATTCTCACACACCCAAATCGCCACACCCCCAACTCGCCACATCCCCAAATTCCTCCACTCCCGAATACCCACATTTCCAAATCCCCACATTCCCAAATCCCTCCCTCCCCAAATTCCCACATTTCGAAATTCTCACATACCTAAATCGCTACCGCCCCAAATCGCTATATCCCCAAATTCCTACATCTCCAAATCGGTACATCCCCAAGTACACCACGATTGGTCAGAATAGAAAAATGGCCTCACACGTATTTTCGGCGGTATATTGGCTCCCGCGGTCGCACACCAATTAGGCGAAAAACAATGACAGTGAAGTGTCTCAAGTGAGCATACTTGCTCGAAAGCAGTTGTCATTATTATTCTTATTTGTATGTAACTGGAAGGGAGCTTCTTTTACTTTGCACGCGCCAACTTGGGGGTTGACATCTGTTCTCGTCGTAGATTTTGATAAAGCGACGAGATTTTTAAGCGAACACTTCTCTTGTATTCAATTTTAAATTAAATACTAATTAATGATAGTTACGATATAATGAGCTCGATTCGAATGATACAATCGAGTTGGACAGAGAACGTTTGTCGCTCTTTCTTTTTAATAAATGTGCTTGAATGAATGTTTATGCATAATTCTCTTTGTTGCTGAACAAGAGATACACTTTTGTTTAATCAACTTACTTCTTCTTTGATTAATTTTAGCACGAGGTAGTTGGATTTAATTTACTATTATAAAATTACTTTCAACTCTTTCGTTATAAAGGTTAAAAAATTATAAATATTCTTATAAAATTGTAACTATACAGCAAATTCAGATTTCGAATATATTTATATAGTTCTTTGAAAATTTCTGTTAGAATAAAAAAGTCGTTCTTCCTATGAAACAAGTGTTAATTAGACTGAGAATATCTGATGTATGCAAAGTAAATTATTCGCGTATTATTTACATAATATAAGTATAATAAAATAGTAACTATTTTATATTATAATTTGTTACTAATTTATATTATAATTAGTTACTAATTTATGTTATAATCAGTTACTAATTTATTATATTTATATCACATAACTAATGTACAATTAATTAATAATTTGTGACACTTTACATCTAATAAACATCCACAGTCCAATTCACCATTAAATCAATAAAATTTAATGGCACGCAATTAAACAAAATGCACTCCTGTTCGAAAAATGTGCGACAACGTGATTTCATAGATGCAAATGATCGAAAAATTCTATTCCATTGTTAAGATTAGATCGTCTCCTTCTAATCTCATTCCCTGAGAGACATCCAGTGTCTTTACTTTCCCTGCTCTAGGTGCTTGGACCACCATTTCCATTTTCATCGCGGACAACACGACCAACGGTGCTCCTTTATCCACTGTGTCGCCTACTTTCACTCTGATATCGATCACGGTTCCAGGCATGGGTGCTCCAATTTGATTTTTGTCTCCCTTCGCTGCTTTAGGGTGCACGTGCAGCTCCTAATTCCAAACCAAAAACATTTATTCACATTAATTGTGAAAAGCAATTTTTCCATATGTGTTAACAAAAAAGAAATTGTCTTTTACTTATACAGTTCAGAAGTAATTGATAATTTTTATATAAAAATGAATGAAAATAATGATTACACAAAAATACATAAAAATGATATTTAGACAAAACCAAAAAAAGATATTAATGAAAATAAACGACAGGTCTATAATGTTCATATAAGAATGCATTAAAATTAACAGAAGTAAACAAGTCTAAAATGCTTACATAAAAATGTATTAAAATTAACAGAAGAAAACTACAAGTCTAAAATGTTTACATAAAAATGCATTTAAATTAACAGAAATAAACAACAAGTCTAAAATGTTTACATAAAAATGTTTTAAGATCAACAAAAATAAACAGCAGTCCCAAAATTGAAGCTTCATTATAATTTTTCTGCATGTGCTTATGAAAAGACATTTGTATCATCTGTACAGTTTAAACATTGTCGATAATATTTATATCAAAATAAATACAAGTAATGTTCACTTATGTTATTTGTATTAAAATGAACTCAAATGATGTTTATCAAAAAATGAACAATAGACTGAATCTAATAATTGTAACTTTTATATTGTAACAATTTATATTTGATCATTGCATCAATAATGTATCTATCATTTATATTGTATAAATAATTAATATCCTTCACATCATTGCGTCAAAAATTATCATTAACGTAATTGTTCTCTTCTGTCAATAATAAATGTAGAAACTATTTATATTATAGCTTCAATAATTATTATTTATATAGTTCGTTCAAAAATAAATGTACCTACACCCCTTAAAAAATCAGCATAATAAATAAATCAGTATAAAGCATAATACAATAATCAGTATATATAAAAATAAAATAAATACATAAATGTTAATTAACGTCTACAATTTTCAATTTACCTTAACAGCCTCCTTGTCCTTAATGAACACAGATCTGAGTTGTCCGTTCATTTCGAAGAACACCTCTCGTTCGCCATTTTTCGTGAGATCCTCAGCAACCGCCAGAGTTTTGATAGCCAAAGTTTTACCCTTCTCGATGGTAACATCGAATTCCTCTGCAACCTTTGGTCCAGTTAAGAAGATCCTTGTCTCCAGTTTATCAACTGGCCCATACTGTTCTCTGAAGTTCAAGTAATCGTTCGTGACACTTGGATAGAGAGCTGCTGACATGATATCCTTGTCTGTGACGTTTGGATGAGATTCTAGTAATTGAGTCTTTAGTGCGTTGAAGTCTAAGGGAGGTAAAGTTGCTCCGGGTCTGCCTTTCACGCGGGGCATATCTTTCAATACCTTTGATCTGCAAAGAAATTATAAGTGGTTATAGCGATTATATAGGTGGTTATAAGGGTTACTTGAGGGGTTATTAATGGGTTATTTGAGGTTATTTGGAGTTATGAAGGTTTGGGGTTGTTTATGGTTATTTCGAGTCATTTGGAGAATTCTTTATTTTGTAACTTTTGAAATTTTCGGACTTTGGATGTGTAAAGAGTTGAATCTACCGGTATTTTATTTTGCAGATTTCTACATTACCGAATCAATACATTTCCGAATCCTCAAATCTCTGAATCCCTTAATTTCCAAATACCTAACATCAATAAATCCCTAAATTTCCAATTCCATAACACTCTGAGACCCAAATCTCCGAATTTTCAAATCACCAAATCTCTCAATCACCCATATTCCAAAATCCCCAAATTTTCAAAGCCCCGAACCTCCAAACCTCCAAATACCAAAATCTGTAAATTCCCAAAATCTTCAAATCCCCAACCCCCAAATTTCCAAGTCCCCAAATCCCCAAATTCCCAAATCCCCAAATCCCCAAACCTCCAAACCTCCAAATCCCCAAACCTTCAAATCCCCAAACCTCCAAATTCCCAAATCCCCAAATTCCCAAATCCCCAAATCCCCAAATC